GACCCTGCTTTTCTCTACCTGCTCTCAGCCCCTCGAGAAGGCCCAGGTCAGTCTTGATTGGGGTGGGGTGAGGAAGGTGGGGGAGCAGCCTGACCTGGCTCTGAGCCCCACTCCTTCTACCATAGGACGCAGCTCTCAGCGCCCCCAGAAGATGGCTGGGGAGCTAGACCGCCTGTTGCCCCAGTCATTAGGGCTGCCCCGAGCCCCTCAGCCAGCAGGCTCCAGCCTCCCTGGCCCCCTCCAGGTAGGCAAGGGCCCAGGGAAGGTGGGCCTGGGCCGCTGTGGGCACTGGAAGGGAAGAGTAAGCAGACTTTGTCTGCCTCCAGCCCGGCTGGTCCTGCCCTTCCTGCACCTTCATCAATGCCCCAAGCCGACCTGGCTGTGAGATGTGCAGCACCCAGAGGCCCTGCGCTTGGGACCCCCTTCTTACAGCCTCCCCACAGCAGCCACAAGAGGTACTAGGGTGGTGGAGAGGAGGGGTTGAGGACAAGGGAGCAGAAGAGCAAAATGACCTACTTCCCCACCCAGGTCACAAGAAGAGAGGATGGCCCTTCCCTCCCAGGCCCGAGGTCCCTGGACTCCCTCCTGAACCTCTCAGAGAACCTCTGCTGACTGCTTACTGGTGTCAGAGCCAGAGCCAGAGCCAGAGCTGGGGAGAGGGGCCACTAGCTGGAGTCATTAAAAAAGCTTCTGAACCACCTGAGTGCCTCTACTGTGTGCGGACGGGCTACTGGGGGCGCGCAGCACAGGACAGCCCCTCACAGGAAACTTAGTACTCAGCAGGCAGAGCTTCTCAGCTAGGTCCACGAGGCTGTGCAAAAGTGGGCTTGGACCCCAGTCCCAGGGGCCCTAGGGGCATGGCTCCGAGATCTCTTTCCACACCCCAAGGGCTTGCAGAACTCCATCCTGTCTGCCAAGCAGGCCTCCCCTAGCCCACCATGAGCCCCTCAGGCACACAACCCTCCTTTCTCCCACTCAGCTCTCGCCCTACCAGCCGGCCCCTGCTCCTTGGGACGACTCCACCCAGGATGCCCCTCACATTCTCCTCTTGGGGACAAGAGCTTAGAAGCTAAGCTAAAAGCCCTGAACCAGGACTCTGTGCTGTTAAGGCCACACCTCCACGACCCTCCCACCACTGACAGACCCACTGCTGCCACCAGGCTGTCAGGCCTAGACCCAGCTCCTGTTGCCCTGTAGACTGCTAGGAGGCACCACTGGATGGCAAACACCCAGACACTCCTTTACTCCCTGCTGTCCACCCAGGGGACCAGCACATTCCAGGTGGTCTATGCCTGCTTATTGCTTCTGGAGCATGGCCGAGCGCGAGCTGTCCACTCTGCCAAGCCACACCTGGTACCAACAGCTCCTGTTAGGCCTCTCCCCGCTGCCCTTAGGGTGAAGGCCAAGGAGTTCCACACTGACGTTTGGTTGCTGTAGGAGGCCTCTGATCGTGTCCTGTCAAGCCCTTTACACCTGTGACTGGTACTCCCCACCCCAGTGAGTGCTGTCCCTTCTCTAACAGCTGGTTCTCTGCTTCCTGCCCCCATTCTGTACTCACTGGACGCCCAGCCATCAGTCAGCACAGGGCACTGCTGGCCACACTGCATGGACATCCCTGGAAACTGAAGGCAAAGGTCTCAGTCCTAGAGTCCCCTGCAAATCTGTACTCGCATCACACAGTAGCTCAAATATGTACACTGAGAAACTTAATTTATTTCCATGATGGAGGCTGAAGAATCTGGAGCTGGAACCTGGTCTCCTGCCCCCTCCCCTCTTGTTCCAGAGGAAGAAGAGCATTGGCCGAGAGGGCCAGCGGAAGCCCTGAACAGGCCAGGATGGCTCCTTGCTTGGCTTGAGAGCCCATTCAGGCAGGACGGTGCACGGACATTGGGCAGGGTCACTTGGGCGGCCGATATGCCAGCTTCCGACTCTTCAGGACTGACCACTTATGCCGCTTCATGGCGTAGACCAGGGGCAACAGCAAGCCCATCATCAACAACATCTGGGGGCGAGGCAGGTTCAGAGGCGAAGGCGAAAAGGACCCCCGCCGAGCTCCCAGCCCCTCCTGTGCCCCGCCTGCTCTTTCACCTTGAGCCCCATGCGTTTGCGGTGGTCGTGCTCTGGCTCAGATGCCCAGCGCAGAAAGGTGCAGACGTCCTTGGCTACCTGAGACATGCTAGCTGGGGTGCCTGGGCAAGGACAAGTGGTGAGGGCTGCCGTTGGGGCCCTGTCCAACCAAGGGCACCCCTCCGTGCATCCCCTCCATGGAGCAGACAGGCTTCTGCCCAAAGCTTCAAAGGGATGGAACCCCTCAGGCACACTGGGGGTCTGAGCTAGATGGCAGTGCAGGCTGCCCATGTGTCGCCTCAGATGCCCAGGCATGCCCCAGCCAAGGAGGGGGCAGGACCCTGGGACCAAGAACCCAGGGGAAACGTTCCGACAAATGGGGAAAGGAGGACCCGCGTGCCCATCCCCAGGGCGGGGGCCTCACCATCGTCAAACTCCAAGACTTCGTCGTAGATAGGAGGGGCCATGGCAATGGCCTGGCCAGGGAAATAGGGGTTGAAGTAGAGGCCTTCTCGCAGCGACACTCCGGTGGGTGGCTCACAGTAGCCCGTGAGCAGGGAGAAGACGTAGTCCTCACCACCGTGCCTGGGACCAGATCCGTGCCTCAGCCCCTGGTTTGAGCTGGACCCTCCCCCTCCCTCCTGCAGACAGCTGAGTACCTAGCTCGCACAATGTAGCTGAGGTCAGGGGGCAGTGCTCCATTGTTGGCCGCTCGCGCAGCCTCCGGGTTGGCATACGGTTTGGGGAAGTAATCTGACAACTTCCCTGGCCGCATGAACATCTCCCCGTCCTCATTGGGGCCATCCTGGACCTCCACCTGCCACGAGAGCACCGTCACTGCCCTACTGCTGCCCACCACCGGAAAGCCCCAGGCCCGGGGCCTCCACAGCATCACCAGGACCCCACCTCTTCTGCCAGGGCCTTCGCCTCCTCCTCCGTGTAGCACACGCCCACCAGATGGCGGTAAGCGACATAGTCCATGCTGTGGCAGGAGGAGCACACCTGCTTATATACCTGGAAACCCCTGCGGATGCTAAAGAGAAGAAAAGGGTTAGGGGCTCTGAGGACTCCACCCCACCCAGTCCACCCAGACACTCCCCCAACCAGCCAGCCACACACCTGGTGTGGTCCAGGGAAGAGAGGAGGCCACGGTGGGACCACGGGTAGCTGGGGGGGTGCAGCTCCAGGTCACTGGCACTCACGGCAGAATGCAGAGCCACAGCCAGCCCTGCACCCCCTGCCGCCAGCATGCCCAGCGCTGACAGCATCACTTTCCGGCCCCGGGACAGACCGGACTTCGACGACAAGGACACTGCCTGCAAGAGCCCCGCTCAGCACCTCCCAGAACACCGCTCAGCCTTACCTGGGGATCTGACTCTGCACCCCTCTCCCACTCATCCACCCGGCCACCTGCTGGGAGGCGCCAAAAGCACACCCTGCGCCACTGCCCGCCCCACTTCTCCGCGATTTCGCCCTGAGAAGAGGGGAGTGTGCGGCGTGTTCTTGGAACCTGGGCCGGGGATCAAGCCGAAGTGAGCAAGGGTGCTGGGGCAGGCCAAGGTCACAAGCAGCTGGCCGAGGTCAGGCTGAGGTCATGTCAGGACGCGAGCCCGGTCTGGAAGGCCAGAGCTGGAGCGGGCCGAGGGGCGCCGCCCGAGGAAAGCCCTCCGCCCCGACCGGGCAGCGAGCCCGCCTCGCCGCCCCCCACGCTCGGCACGAGGCGCCTCTGCTACTCGGAGGAGTGGGCGCTCGGCCCTGCTCCCAGGA